CTGACCTGTACATCCCTGCTACTTTATATTGTGGCTGCATATTGGTGGAAACAAAAACATTAAAACTCCATGGGGAAGCATAAGGATCAGCAGTACTGTACATGAAATATGCCACCATTTCATTCATGCATTTATTCGAGTGCTTTAATTACGACTGGCACTCCTTTATCTGTACTTTGTCAGTTTTTTGTTTTGAGTGCTAGGTCCTACAATCTACCATTTATAGACTCTTCAGGAAATAAGTTAAGCGGAGCTTTGTATAGTTATTTTCACAGATAAATTCACAAAGTGCAAGTCAAATAGGTACAAATATAGGCCTAAAAACAAGAAAGTAGAATGTAGCCCACGTGGGTGTTTAACATAGAAATACATAGAATAAAACTATTAATTCCTCCCTTCCCGCTTCATTAAATGCAACACTTGAGCAACGCGACTCTACCCGCACGCATGCCTTCTGCTCCTTTGACGTTCAGCCAATCGAATTACGTGTGGCTCCTGATACAGACTCTCCAGATTACCCGTTTGTTTTTGTATGTAAATGCTGATTCAACACAATGGTGTTGAACCTTAAGTTGTTCTGGCTTGGCTATTTTAAAGCCTCGCTTTCAAATGGCTGCAGTCAACATGACAATGCTTCTGGAACAGCATCTAAGCTTTCTTAGGACCCAAACCAGGGATCTTATCACAGTAATCACAGCCCAGCAAAATGCAAAGGTCAAGAAGCTCCTCATGGTTGAGTTGCAGGTCCTCTAACAGCTTATCTAATGAGTATTCAACAACTTCACTATCCCTCTTGGCATTCAGCTGGCATATGAGAACAGCAGTTCTAAAGGCCAGTGTGTAAATGTCCTCGGAGGCCACTGCACTGATATCTGACAGAACGAAAGTGGAAAAGAACGACATAGCTCTTCATCGAGAAGGATAGGAATCACAAAACATGCTGATGTAGTTCGCTGAGATGCTCCAGTGCAGTTTCTTATAAGGAAATCAGGGACTATAGGGGTAAAGTGATTGCCTTGGATAACTTGGTGGTTTTAAACCAGTTCTGAGCAGCGACATCCTCTCTGAGCCCTTAGACCGGACTCTTGTTGCACACGGTGACCTTCCTTAGACATGACATTAAGTTGGTCTTTGTGTTGGATGGAAAGCTGATCGCAAAACTGGCTGATGTAATTAGCTCAGATGCTCCAGGTTCAGTTTCCTATAAGGATATCAGGGACTATACAAGGAAAGAGATTGCCTTGGGTACCTTGGTGGTTCTTAACCAGTTCCAAACAGCAACACTTTGCTGACCCTTTCCGACTGGACTCTTCTTCAGCACACTGACCTAATACATATCAAAATCAAAGTATTTTCCTTGGTCGCTATGCATTCTCGAATACCACAGTAAATTATAAAATTCTCCCATAAACTGTATTGGCTCGTTGATTTGAAGTAGGAATGCTATCAGCGAACTTGGTGAAGTGGTTGGTAAGGACAAGGATATCACGTGTGTCAGGCTAAAAAAAAATCCAAGCATAGGCGTTCTAACTGTCCCAATCTTGTGACGTTTACCAACAGAGCAGCACCATCTGGTAAAGCCTTTCCTCACACAACGGCCACAGGTCTTTATTTTTTGCTCTACGTCCATTGCCATTTTAACGTTCAGGACCAAGCCACTAGCTCTACTCAGCTCTAGCCTTGACCACTCTCTTAGCAATAGTGGTTACTCTGCCAGATGGCTTTCATGATTTCCTCAGATAGCATTGGCATTGGCGGTGTGCTGGAAGATGAACTGGTGGATGAGTTCAGAATGATTGCTGGAGCAGGGGTGTGGTCTACTGCATCACAGTTTTGATTTCCTGCTCTGGAAACAGTTTAAATTAATAAGTAGACAATATAGCAAACAAATGATTTCCAGTAGCATATAATATGGCTGTAGTAAGTATGTAGGTCAAGAGGTTGCTGTCGGTTACAGTGCAGTTGACGCCATATACATAGTCTTTGAACTTTTCAGTCACGCTCAATTTCAGGGCAAGCAATTCAAGTTTATGGGCGGGATAAAAGGCCCAGCTGTCATAGGCTATGTTTCCTTCTTGTTCCTGATATAAGGCAGGCATCACCTAGTCCAGTTACACTGGCATCAGTATGCAGGACATTTGGATGGTATGGTTCAGCAAACACAAGCTGGAGCAAAAAGCTACATTTTTAAGCCTCACCAATTTGTTTTCAAAATAAAGACTGCAAAACATAAAAACCTCTTTAAAACTCAGGAAGAATCCTCAGAATGTACAGAACCACATCTTCACAGTGACTGCAGCAAATTTTGACTGAATCAGTTAAAGCATATTTGATCCAGCAAGGTTTTAGTGGACAGTGTCCCAGGCGGATCGGTGACTTTGGCACAGACGTGCCAAAAGTGTCCAAAACTTTTTAAATGGAAGATTTTCCTCATAAAAAGGAATCTGATCTAATACAAGAGCTGAATTTCATGGTGTTGTTACTTTAGCATATAAAAGAAGTGGGTTTTTTTCATGAGATTTCACTGTGTTTTAATCACATTTTACCAGTATACACAGCATATCAATAAACCAAAGAAAATTAGATGTATTTTATATTTTTTTCTGATAACACGAGATATGTGTCCAACTATACAACAAAAATAGAAAAAAAGTACACATTGTTCTGCAGTAACTAAAGTGTAAAAGTAAAGTGTGGATAATGTAAAAGCTTTATAAAGTTGCCTAAATTAATTCCACATACGGTAGTTACAGTGAGGAGAGGGTGTGTCTGAAACTGCAGTCATTGTAAATTTTTTTTTTGTTTTGTTTTTTATTACCAGATCAGATTTATTTCCTACTCTATTCATGAGCACACTTTTTGAAATAGCAGACACATGTAAAATAGCTAAAAATGTAAGATTACAGCAGATAATTTGATCATCTCTGTGTTGTAATAAAATGAATGATTCTTTTTTGTATTCATGAGGGTGTTGATCATAGAATAAAACAGGTAATGTAGTCACCAGTGATCCAATGTCAAGCAAGCACTGGTAGGTCTGACCAGCAATACTGATTTAAGATCCAATCATTCCTCAAGGCAACATTTCTGCCCCCTCTGGTTTGTAGTAGCTTTGCAAACATTCCTCCTCATCTTCTTTGGTGCAGGACAGGGTGGGTCTTGCACAGTTCCTATTTGTCCCTCAACAGGAACCAACTCTAGTTTAAATACTGATGGGAGGAAGGATTTTGTCTTTGCCATTTCTGTTTTCTTTCGTTGATTTGTGTGTGCTTGGTGTTAACTGTTCGGTTCTGACTTTGTAGTCTTACTGTACATGTCCATCTTCTCCACAACAGAAGCAGAAACCCGGCTTTAGAATTAAAGGTGGTACAGTGTCTGAGCGTTTCATCGAGTAAATGGCTGAAAGGAGATGGAGGATTGTGAGGAAGTTAGAGTGGCTAATTGCTATTGTATTTCAACCATCAGTTTTGTGAGAGTGGACAGTGCAGCACAAACTCCTTTCCTTTCTTCAATTGCTGTCACGCACAGAACCTTTTTCTTTTGATGGTCCCAGACTTTTCATTTGTTCAGCTTTACTGGCTTCCGTTCTTCTGTTCTTAACAGTAACCAAAGCTCAGCAAAACAGGGTGGGTTTGGCTTGCGTTGCTTGAACTAGAGCTCTGAAATTAGGTTGTTATTCCATCATACTGTGTTTTACTCCTCCATGCTTCACAGCCAGACCAAGAGCTTACTTGCTACTTGCAGGTAAACAGATGGTTTCTGTAGTGCATCTTTCAAGGTGTCCATTAATTTGGTGTATAGCTCCTCCCTGTCCTGTACAGCTCCATAGGCAAAGTACTGGATGTAAAATTTCAGAAGGCAAATCTGGGCTGAGATGTTTAACAATGTCCAAAGCAGGCGGCAGTAAGCTGTCAATGATATATCTGGACCTGGATCTTTAAGGATGAGAACAGTTAAATGGCATGTGTTGAAATCCACTTAATGTTGTGGGCTTGGTACAGCAAAATTGATATATATATTCCTGCATAGTGTCCTCCGACCAAATTTCAATGAGAGCATCGGTTTCGGCATCCTACGAAACCAAATGTCGCACTACGCTCATTTGATGGGGTCCCTGAGCATGACCCTTAACCTCAGACTGCTCCCCAGATGTCTGTAAATAGGAGCAGACGAGGTCTGCCAATGCGCTCTTTGTTATCAGAGAACCAAGCCACAACTTAACCATGCCAACCATTGAACTAGTATCAGTTTAGCAGAGTTCATAAGTGGCTGGCATGGTCCAGTTCAGTTACCGTGTTCGGACCATTCTCTCTGCCCCATTTATACGCCAGTGACTATGTCTGACTATTAACAGTTTTATTTTACTCATTTATTTTTAACATACAATTATTGTTGTAGGTTACAAAAACAATAAGTAGAACCATCAACAAGAAGCTTGACTAAATAAAAGTCTTGTGTTTTTTCTTGTTTCTTAATACAAGAAATGTGGATATTATACACAGATGTTCATTATTGTCTCAGTGATCAACCGCTAGTACTAAAATGAAGAACACAGGTGTATCTGAACATAAATTATCCATTTAAATTTACTTTATACCATTTTATTGCTATTGTGCTCTAAATGATTTTTCCCACCAAACAATGTGGGAGTATATCTACTGAATAAATTTACTGAAATAAATTCTTAGATAAAAAAGTTTTTATGTTTTTCATATTTGAGTATAAGCTCCTCAAATATAACATAAATGTAATTAAAAGCTATTTACACATTTCTACCAAAGGTAGTGATACATATCCGGGGACAAGTAAATTATTTATAAAGGTTGAAAAACAGTTTCACTTAATAATAACAAGTGTGGTTTTAACTTGTGACAATGCAACTTGTGAGAAACCTGTGCAGTGAGAGAGCTCCAATGTCTTAAATTACTGTAGGGGGAAAAAAAACTGCTTTTGTTCTTATTGAGTTTGTCTAAACTATCTCACAAGAATCTCTACTATACCTGTAACTGGTGCCTCGATGTCAAGAATAGTTTTCTCCTGGCGGAGGATGGCTGCACCCTCATTGATGATTCGAAGTGCCACAGCTTCCTCCACGCGGCCCTCCTTGGTCAGGTGAGCTTTCAGGAGATCCACACGAGGTTTGCCTTCACAGTCAAACACTTCCTTCATTGTAAGGCGGTGGCTCAAGGGAAAGGGGACAGCTAAGGAGAGAGCACAGAGGCAAATATTGTCATTTAACTAATGGGCATATGACAGAAAAATCATTTACTGCTAGAGCTTCCAAAAATCCAATTCTTTTTATTCAAAATATATAATCTTTGTAAGCAGATAGGCTATTTAATACATTTTATTGAAGTGCAGTTGAATAATTTTCTGGTTTGTACGTAAAACAAACAGTTCACTTTCATGGTTCTCTAAAGAGTGCAAGCATTAAATCTAGCCAAAGGACAGTCTGTGAAACTGTGAAACCCAAGCACTGATCATTACTTAAGTGATGACAGGCAAGGGATATTTTTTTTATTTTTTCTTTATTTTGAATTTTCTGATTATCTCAGTTTGACCACAAGTGGCTAAGCCCATGCACAAACATTAATCTAGAAATACTCTGGCCCAATACAAATAAATCCTTCTAAGTGTCAGAACCATGAATAATTTACATTGGGAGAAAATGTAAGTCCAGTTGCTAATCTACCGCTGTGTGAAATATATAGCTACAGTACAATAATACACATTTATGAGCAACATGAACATATGTTATAATTTTATAAAATTATTAAACTCAGTGTGTAAAGAGGAGCTTTCTGTCAGATTTCTGTGTTGTGCAACAAACAGGACCACTCAGCAGAGCCGAAGGAAGAAGAGACAAAGAAAGAGACTCTGAGCTCAACATGATGAAGATGGTCGTTAATAATAAATGTTAAACTAGAGAAATCTCAAAGCCACTACTCCTGGGATAATGAGGCAAGCCCCTGCAAGTGTGGTTAGAGGGCCTAAAAATTTTCACAGAACCAGTGTGTATCTGTGATGGCAACGTGTGCTTTAACACTTAACCAGCAAGTACAAACTCAGCAGCGTTGAACGCACTGCAGAGGAAGTGAATGAACTCACTACATATAACAACACAGCCTGAAAAGTGATCAGAACCTGTCATTAAATCCCATATCAAAGAGGTTTCTAGAATTTCCTTCTTTTACCTCCAAATTATTGCAAAAATGAGAAATATTCTATCTAGGGGTGATTCTGAGAAACTAGTCCATGCATTACTTCAAGGCTTGACTAGTGTAATTCTTTATTATCAGGAAGTCAACAAACTAAGCCTTCAGCTGATCCAAAATGCTGCAGCCAGGGTTCACATGAAAATTAAAAGGAGATATCATATATCTCCTATCCTAGCTTCTCTCTATCGGCTTCCTGTTAACTCCAAAATAGAATTTAATAGAATAAACTCCAGAAGAATTCCCCTCTCACATATAAAGCCTTAAATGGCCAAGGTCCGCCTTATATCAGAGAGCTGATTGTACCTTAAGTTCCTAACAGAGCACTTTGCTCTCAATTTGCAGGTTTACAAATGGTTCCTAGAATTTCTAAAAGAAGAGTGGGAGCAGATCTTTAAGTTATCAGGCTTTTCTCCCGTGGAACAAACTACGAGGTTTAGTCTATGAGGCAGACACACTGTCTTCTTTTAAGGCAAGGCTTAAAATAATTTTTGATAAAGCTCATAGTTAAAGTAGCTCAGGTTATCCTGTGCTATCTCTATAGTTATGCTGCTATAGACTTAGACTGTTTGAGGACATAGGGACCCCTTTTCCCCCTTCTGCTTCATTCTATTCTCCCATTCTGCATCATTCTATCTCTATTCTCCTATTCTGCAGTATTTGTTAGTTCAATCTCTAACGTTATACTCCCTGTTTTTCCTCATCATAATAATTTCATTTGACCAGTTCCTGTTTGGCACCATCCTGGAGAGAAATATCAGCTGTGCTGCTGCCAACAACACCTTTGTTTATAGATCTTGGAGCCTGGCCTGTTTTTCAGTGTAGTCCTGTTTCTCAGACTGTAATGGTCTGTATGTGCTCTCATTCATCCTCTGACATGGTAGCTGGATGGGAGCTCATCTACCTGGCTATGTGTTTCTGGGAAGGGGCCGCTTTTGGAGCTGGTTGACAGTTACATTTTGGATCCTTTAATCTCAGTGGGCCTCTGCAGATGGCCGCTCACACTGAGCCTGGTTCCGCTGCAGTATTCTTTTTGTTAAAAGGGAGTTTTCCTCTCCACTGTTGCTACAAGCATGCTTGGTGTGAGGTATTGCTGTCGAGTCAATTAGTCCAAACAGTGGGCTTGCTTGCTTAGATTAAAAACTTTGAACCAATCTGACTGTATGATGTGGTTGAACTGTCTTTGTAAAGTGGCTTGAGATGACACATGTTGTTAATTAGCGCCATATCAATAAACTGACTTAAATTGAATATTTTATTTAATATATGTAAAAAGTGTTTATTATCAGGTGAAATTTATAAAAATTAATTGAAGTTACTCAATATTTTCAAATTAAATCAACAAATCAGAAAATAGAGTAACATGTATTTTACACTATATAGTCCTACATCTTCTAAATAAATCATTAGCTTATCAAGCTTTGAGAAGTTTCTTCCTAAAGTTAAATGGAGACAAGGTTTCCTATATAAGCAAATGCTCTAGAAAACCTTAATGTAAAATACAGTTTATGTATCTGGAGGCTGAGCTAACAGCTTGTCCAAAATGCTAAGCTAAAAAGGAAAAAGGAAAAAATAAATACTTTTTAGTTTTCTTCCATTTCTAATGTCACTATCCCCTTAGAGGGAGGAAAAGCTCTTTAAGCCCCCAAAACTGGAAAGCCCTGCTAACTACTCTTGACCCCTTCACTCTCACTCCAAACCCAGAGACACAATTCTAGTTTTCTATAAAAAACATTATCGATTTATTCATTTTATTAATTTTAAGAAAATACTACCAGTGTTAGGAGAGATATTCCTGGCTTTTACTATGGATTTTTGTTGTTGGAAATGTCCCCAGATTTGATTTCACAAATCTGGTCATCTTATATTCTAATGAACTAATCACAGAGATGTCAGGCATATAGTCTAAAATAATTGCTAGTATATGAAGAGCAACCTGATGCTGTAAAACTAATGGACACAGGACAAGTTAATGGTTTGGTGCCAACAGCAAAAGTAAAATGTCTGAAGTTAAATGCCTAGTTTCGAAAAACTACTAGGCCAATGCTCTGGTTCTCAAAACAACCTTATACATATGACAGAGTAAACATCATAAAAACTTAATCTAAACTTTCCTTTTTGTCATAGTTCCTTAACTAACAAGAACTATTTCTCTCTTTCTAACAGCAGGGCATTGGTTTTGGAACTAAGATAACCATTTCAATGAAATGCATTGACCAGAGGATGAGCTTTATATAACAACACCTATTCAAATGACCAATTAAGACGTTTGGTAACTAAATAACAGCCATTACAATCTGAACTGTACCTACTTAACTATTTCCTAGTGCTTTAGCAATGACTTTTAAAATTCTAGGCCTACAAAGTGTTAAACAAAGTGAGTAAGATGTTTAGTTTAAAGATGCATAAACAAAAAAAACGCTTTTAAGGAACGTAAGTGAAAACATGCAAATAAAGAATACATAACAGAGAACATGAACTCAAAGTACCCTCATTGGTTGCCCTAACTCTTGTGAAGTCGCCAGCTTTAAACATTTTTTATAAGGTTATTTTGGAATAAAGATATCTTAAAAGTAGTAAAATATGAAAAAGATGAGCACAACATATCGATATTTAGCTGACAAACTTTAATTAATACCGATATACCTCTGAGGAGAAATTCAAACTGAACCTGGTATGTGAACTAAACAATATTGATGTGCTTTTTAACAGGAAAACAAGACAGAAAAATCCATAACATTCATACATTTATTTTTCCTTTTGAATTGTTTTGTGTAGAAATCCCATCAATCTATGGTCCAATTCTTCAAAAAGAGTTCATTATAAAATCAACAAAACTGAATTACAAATAAAATGAAATGAGTAAAACAAAAATATAATCTATGTAAAATTGTCGTCTATATTTTCCTAATAATCTTCTTTAATGGTTAATAACACTGAAATCCTTAATAAATTATTCCTGCCCCTTATGCAATGTTCTTCAACCAAACCGTATGAAGAAAAGGCTTAGTACAAAAGTATACTGATATAGATATGTGGTGCAGAGATGAAACGCTGACTTCTGCTCAGCGCTGAGCTCAGCTGAGCTATGAAATACTGTATGTTGCCGGGCAACAGCAGCAGCAGGGGCAACAGCAACAGCAGCTGACTGTTGGAGCGCAGCCAGTGGTGCTCCAGAAAACTGCAATTTGCACTGGAGTTTCACATGGGTACAGAGATTTATTAGACAAGGCTGCGCAGCTGACAAGACAAAATCAGCTCTCAATAAAACTCATATTGTGTTCATGATGCCTAAGAAATAATCCGAGAAGAAATTCTTAGGTAACTACATTTTCAATCTGTATTGCAACTGAAACATGTACAGTGGGTAGAAATGAAACTGATAGGTGTATTCCTATCTTACCTAACAATGTCATCACTGTGGATACTCTTGAGTGATTTAAAGATAAAAGGAGGAGGGGCTCCGAGAGGAAAGATTGTGTACAGGTAGAATTACGGCCTCATGCATGTTGACGTTTACACTGCTGCAGAAAACAAACTGCACAAGCCAGCAGAAACCAAAGCTTTCTGTGCTCTGTCAGGTCAAAGTGTGTATGTAAAAAAAACACCAACAACTTGAGATAAATCTTGTGTTCTTTAGGTTACCTCTATGCCCATAAGGATAAAAATATCCTTGTCTCATGTAGTGTGAACGCACCTGAACACAATAACTCACTATTTTCTTGAGAGCATACTTTGATCAACTGATGGCTGTTTGATTCAGTTCCTAATGTTTTTTTTTTTTTTTTTTCCCCCACCGGGAACTGTAAAAGGAAATGGCTGTCTCTACAAAGCTGGATACCAAAATAGCAAGAAAAGATAAAAGTGACAAAAGGAATATCCACAAGCACAAGAAATGACTCTATTAACATACTTAAAAAACCTCCAGAAAATAACTAGATCCTGGATTTAAAGAAATGATTTCTTGTTTTAATCAGTCATTAATGTGGAAAAAATGAAATTTAAAGTAAGACAAGTTTGTATACCATACGCAAATAGTATAAACGTAACAAATACAAAACACTTTCAGAGTTTTAGACTCCTCAAAGTGCTTGGTGTTACATGATCATGTTACAAAACCAAAGCAGTTCAGCCAGAAAGCCTGGCTGGGTGCCATGACTGAGATGGACCTTCTGTTTGCATAACACAATTTTAAGCATTGCTGATAAATTCTTTTCTTTTGTCATTTTGTTCTTCAAGCTGCCATACATACTTAGAAATAAGTCAGTAGATGCCTGCCATGTAGAAGAGAACTATATTAGTAAATAAATCATTTAACGTTACATAAGTTTAAATGAATCCCCGTTTTCATTTTCTTTCTCATTTGTTTCCAACTCTGAAGAGTTTGGTATTTTTGGTGCTACCAACTCTGTCCAACACCAAGAACTGCCACTCAAATTAACCTTCTGGTCTCCAGTTACTACCTTATGAATTGTGCCACATTTGAGGGTTTAGTGAGCAGGTTGGTTTTGCCCATTCACACTTCCTGTTTGACGTTCTCATTTCCTTGAGTCATTTAAGTTATAAGAAATGACACACAGCCTTTTTTTTTTCAAACAAAGGCTCTTTGGTGTCTGAAAGAACAGAACAGGACCACAACAGCCTAGAACCTATTTTTCATGCTGGTCCCATGTTTGATCTAGGGATCTGATTCTTTAACCAACATTTTTCACAAGTCAAACCAAACTGGTTGTGTTATGCTATTTGGGAAAAACAACATATTAAAGATGTTTCCAGAATGTTAAATATGTTTTAAGTAAACTCTACAGGCAGAACCTTCTATCGGTGCCTATGGTCTCTGAGAGTTCAGATTTGGGATTGCTGCTGGTTTCATCTTGATATTTATCTGCAATAATGACATTGTTATATTAGCTCAACATTTAATGCTAGTGATTAACATTTAATCATTAAAAGAAAAAAATAACAAACAACAAAAAGATTTTATTATTTTTGTGCTAAGAATATATTTATTGGTTATATTTTTTGTTTATTATTTACTCAATTAATTAATAAATGTCGGTATTTTTTGTACTGTTTATTACAAGCAAGGTTTAT